ATTTGTCAAAAAATTGATGTATGTAGACAATGCACATTTACTGCGTATATAAATAAATATAATACTACATGTGTTGCAATCATTTTTACCCGCTGTGCACTAGTAGTAAAGGAAATACATAAAGAAATATTTTTTGTGTGTTTGAGTTTGCCATAAAAAGTACACCTACGAAAAATAATTGTAAATATATAGGATAGATTGGCGTGTGCGGCAGCCAAAATAACGAGCGGATTGTATGAAATTAGCATTAATGTACGCATGCGCTGTCTACGCTTGTATATATTTGCATAGAAAGTATGAAAAAATTACTGGCTGAAGGCTTTATACCACTCAAAAGTGTAGACAAATATATTTGAAATATTGTCTTATATCTTAAACGCGAATTATTGACTATTTTCGAGTAGCAGGAATATAATCATATCGGAACACTCAAGCTATAAAAAAGTTGTCCAACTTTGATAATTTGCACTATAAGATTTCCATTTATATGAGAAGGAAGTAGGTAGAATACAAAATTGAGTAATTTCGATATTCGAGTTCTGCCCGAAGAACGCGTTTTGAAAAAATGAGTTGTTGAGTTGCCAATATGTGATGGTTAAAGACATGTTTTTATATATTTTGAATTTCTTTTTTAATTTGAAATTTACCAGGTCAAAACATCATTTTGGAACAATCAATTGTGGCTACATTTATTGTGGATGTCCAATACGTTTAGATATGACACAAAATTATAAAGGGTATAAGAATCCATCATTACGTATAATTCATTGCAAATCCATCCCACTGAACTGTCGCATCTCATATGTGTATGTGCATGCGGTCTATGAGCAAAATGTTTGCTGAAAGCTGAAAGCAATCGCATTGGTAGAACATTAAATCAACGAACTTATACTCAGTACATATGTATATTGCCTTTTACGACTAACTACGAGCGCCAGCCCACCGCGCAGACTCAGTTAGCCCACAGTGGAAATGCAGCCGCAGGACCCATATTTCATGTTGCACCACATTAGTCAGACGCATTACTATTTATCTGCTTGAATAGTCTGTCTACATGCCTGTAAGCCTGTCTCCTTGTCTGCTCGTCTGTCTATATGCGAACAACAACATCGATTGACAAGCACAAGACATATATACATATACATATACCATACATACGTACATATGTGCCCGTAGGTGTGTGCTTAAGTGAAGACAATAAAAATAGCGCAGATATAGAATTTTTTATGTGTCTACATAAATATGTAATTCGAAGGAGCTGCCTACGTCTAGTTCAGTGTGTGGTAGGGCGTTCTGTATTTATCAAATTGAGCTTTTGTTTTGCTTTTTTCTTTATATAATAAATTTACTTTTGGCAGGTAAAATATGTTAAAAGCTTAATTAAAATAGGGTAAATATTATGGGATCTTGATAGAGTGTTTGCGTAAACATTTAATAGTTTTTACCTACAAAATATTTATTATTATTGGGATTATTAGGTAAAAAAAAATATTAAAAAAATAATTGATAAACGTATGTAGAAAAACAAAAATCGACAATAACATCGAAAAAAAAATTGATGAACGTATGTAGAAAAAAAATTAAAATAAATTTTAAACAAAAATTCAAAAAAAAAAAATAATTAATTACAAATTAACTATCAAATTCGCTCAGCAATAGTTTTATTAAAACACTGTCACAATTGTGAAATTACTAAATAATTATTAAATTTTTTTTTCCAAAAACTAAAAATTAGAGCACCTAATAATTTAATAATTTCAAAATAGAGACAGTTAATAATTTTCTCAAAATGAAAATATTCAAGTTAAGCATAAGTTAAGCATAAATAAAAACTATTCAATAGTGGTGAAAATAATTCGAAAAATAAAAAAAATGATTACTTTTCATGCAAAAAAAAAATATTTCTAAAATTAAAATAATTTTTATTCGATAAAATCATTATTTGAAATGTACGATTATTGGTAATCCGATGACAATAACAGAATTGACTCTGAATGAATGCGATAAATTTCACAAAGAAAGTAAAAAGAAGTATATGAAAAATAAAAAAATTGTGATATATATATTTAAAAAAGTAGTTATATATAAATTTTTACTAAGAAAGTAAAAAGAATATTAAAATACAGTGATACATTTATATTAAAAAAAAATATTTATATACAAAATTAGGTAACTTTTGGTTAAGAGGATATAAAAACAAAATATCAAACAAAATTATATTTTTATTTTCATATCATTTTAACCTCAAAAGAGATTTTAGATATGAAAGCGAAGATTAATTACCATTAAAAAACCACAAACAAATTTTTAAAATTAAATTTAACCTAAAAGTATTTTTAAAAAATTCTTCAGAAATTATTGTTATTTCTAATGAAATTATTAAAGATTTATTAAGTAATTTAATATTGTAAAATCATTTTGAAAATGTAAGAACTTTAAGATTGGATTAAAGTAAAAATATAGGAAGGAATTTTAATCAAGAAATATTTTTGTAAAATCCACATGTTATTTATAACAGCAAAATCATTATCATCATTTCATAATCATTTTTTTTACGAATTATTATCCAGCGCAATTTAATATCAGCAACTTGTTATATACATTTCTATGACTTCAATTTTAGCAGAATAAAGGACATCCTAATGTGTCTAAATACTTATTGTTGCCGACCAGCTGCGCGCATTTAGAGCTTTGCCTGCTTGGTCTGTTGACCAGCCCGTGTGTTTTAAACGCATTATTTCTGTAATTTTGTTGTTTTTTTTCGACCAAAACTATTTTCTGCTTTTTGTGCCTATTTTCTGCATACCACTTCGACGCGCCTCATTTTGTGTCGTTCGTGGTCGTTTGTCGGTGATTGACTCGGCCGGGTTAAGTGTACGGAAAATACTGTTTATCTACATATATGCACACTGTACATACACTACATACACGTACATTCATATGTAATCTCCATATTGTCGGTCGGGGACATGGGCACGCAAGCGTATGTGCAAATATCTGGATCTCTTGCCAGCCGCAGCAGCAAATATTTGGAGTATGTTTGTAGTACACATATATACGTGTTTTGGCTGAACGCCTGATTGGCCTTATTGTCGCCGTCATCGCCGCCGTTTCTATGAGACCCAAACCGCGCCGTGTTGAAATCACGTTGTTGTACACAAAACAATTTTCAATTCAACACCCAATTGTATGGTTTCTTTTTCATTTTTCTTCAGATAAAGTTGTTTTAGTCTTTTGGTCACAAGCAAATCGGCTTTGTATGTAGAAATAAGCTGAAAGCAGGCGGATAATGCTTTTTTTTTTGGATACTATTTGGTTATTGTTATTGAAATGAAGTGGAGTTTTGTAGGCTTGATTTTATTGTTTGCTATTTTTAGCTACGTTTATAAAGAAAAAAATGTTTGATTTCTGCGCTACAATTTCTCAATTGTTTTACGGTCTGATTTATGCAATTGTAGGGCATTTTTTCGCGGCAATAAATAATTATTTGTTATATATTATAATTAAAAAAATTAAAAATTTAAAATTTTTTAATTTCATAAAAAGACAGCACCTAATGCTTAGGTAAACGCATGCGAAATCTGGTCTGAATAGCTAAAAAAATTTCTTTTAATCAAAAGACTTAAGCTGCGAACTTTCTGTACACATACAATAAAATTAATGTTATCATATATATTTTTCTCAAAGTCACAGATAACAAAGCAAGAGTTTCAAGACTATTGAGGTGTTAATTTCAAAGTCCTATTCAAATCTTGATAGTCTTTATGTATATGTTGTATAAAGATTTTTAGTTAATGAGAAGAAAATTAAATTTTCTGCTATGGACGTTCCAATTGCGGATCCAATTCGAACAAAGTTGTATGGAAAAAGAAGTATGTTGAGGAAAACGTAGTCGTTGTGAATTTCTTCACTATCTCAAAAATATATGGCCTGAAACAGCTAAAAAAACTAAATTTAAAATAATCCAACAGAACAAAGGCCTGCAAAACCATCAAGAAATTTCCATTTACGTCAATTTTAGAGAAATGAGTGTTCGTTAAAATCAAACAAAACAGGCGATGAAAAGATAAAGTAAGAGCGAAAATTGGAATTTTTACATTTAGGAGAGCTATATGTGTTCGTTATAACGATTTCTTTGCTTTTTTCCTTTTTACATATTACAGATATAGGTAATTTTTTTTTTAAAGAAATTTTTGATTTTTTCGCTTTTTGTAATTTTCCTATAATAGCATAAATAATCCAACCCTTAAATCATGAGTCCAAGAAAATGTGAAACTTTCTTCATCCTGCCTGAGCACAAAATCCTTAAGCTAAAATTATTTTCAGGTTTTTCAATTTCTTAAACAATAAATAATACGAACAAAAGATTTTTTTTACTTTAATTACAAATACTAATTGACCATTAAAACAAATGACTTTCTATTATGCTTTCGATACTGAAATCATTTAGGTAGCATAACTTAGTTTCCATTGTAGTTTAAAGTGACCAATGATAATGTAAATCATCATTCATTTTGAAGTTTCACAACTTCTATTAAATATTTCTTTATACTTTTTATCATACCCATATCCCTGGCATTCCGTCTTCAATTCAACAAATAATTCATTTGAAATCTTTAATGAAATTATGTATTTAAAACACATATCTACTTTCCTTTTTCAAATGCTAAATAACACACCCAAATATGTAACTTAACACAAAAGCGTACAGAATTCACAAACACACCGCAAATATAGATTGTGCGCATCACACCTACTCCTGACTGCAGTCATCAGTAACATAATCATCTTTATCCACAAATTGAATGATAATGAAATATTTGCAAATCGTAAATAGCAACAACAAGCGATTGCGAACGTGTTGTGCATTTATACAAACATAAATGAAAAAAAAATAGAATAAAAAAATCAATGTTGAAATAAGGACAAAATAAATAAAATTAGTTTTCGAAATCAAATAAATTAGTGCGAATTAGTATTGGAACATTTTGTTAGCTTACATTGGCACCACTCACGTTGCTGACCAGCACGCCACAGTAATCGGACGCACCCTGTTTCGCCAACAGATTTATGCTAAAGCCCACCGCATCGGAGCCATCACCCATGGCCATGCAGGCCGCATTTCGATGATCACGCGCATGCACTGCACCCGTGTAGGGACCGTTGAATTTCACTTTGATATTCATTGTGCCGGATTTGCATGTCGCCGTTACGCGTGGAGCAAATTCATTTTGCGTTGAAAGTTCTTGTGTGTAAACCTGGTGAAGAAGGAGAAAGAAATTGAGTGTTAAATAAAATTGATAGTTAAGTAAAAAATAAAACAGAATTATGCTGGAAGAAAAAAAAAATCGATAAAAATTATACATATAAAATAAATACAATTAAAATAAAACTCAAATAAAATAGAATAAAGTAGAAAAAATAAAATAAAATAAAAAAATTTAAATAAAATAAAATAAAATAAAATAAAATAAAAGTTAATTAAAAAATAAATAATTTTAATTAAATAAATAAAAATATTAACAGAAAGAGATAAAATAAAATGGAATAAATAAACTATAACCAAAGACAATAAATTAAACTAAAAAAATTTAAATAGTAAAATCAAAGTGAGAATAATTATGATCGAATAATTAAATTAAATAAAAGCAAACACCATAAAATAAAATAAAACATAATAACAATAAAACAAAATGTAAAGGAAAAATGAAAAAAAATAAATAACGTTAAATAAAATAAATGGAAATATGAACAAAATAAGTTAAAATAAAATTTGATGAATCCAAATTAAGTTAAATATAAAAAATTAAAGTGAAAAATATTGTAAATAAATAATATTAAAAAATAATAATATAAAATAAAATAAAATGTAATAAATGATATATAATATAATAAAATAAAATGATGAAATATATAATACAAAAAAAAAAAAATTAAATCAAGTCAAATAAAACGTAAAATAAAATAAAAAAACTTTTTATAATTAATACAAATTAATATAAAATGAAAGCAAATAAAAAATTAATAGACTAAAACTAAAGAAAATTAAATAATATAAAATAAAATTAAAATAATATATAAAACTATTAAGAATAATATAAAATAAAGTAAAATAAAATATATTTAATAAAATTAAATATCCCAAAATAAAACAAGCTAAATTAAATTAAAATTAAATAAAATTAAAATAAATTTAATTAAACATAGAAATTGAAAAAAAAATAATTATGATAAGAAATTTAAATAAAATACAATTTAAAAAAAGATATAAATTATATGAAAAAATAAATTAAATTAAATAAATATAAATGAAATAACGAAAAAATAATTATATAAATAAGATAAACAAACAGTAAAAAAATGGGGTAAATAAAGTAAAGCAAAATAAAATAAAGTTAAATTAAACTACATAAATAAAATTAATTATATTAAACTAAATTAAATAAATTGTGAAAAAAATTGATGATAAATAAATAAAATAAAATACGATATAATAAACGAAATATAATAAAATAAATTAAATTAAACAAATGTATAATGTAAAAAAAAATTAAGTAAAATTTGTTGATTGAAAATTTAAAAATTTGCCGTATATAAGTAAGGTTTTTCCCGATATATTTCGATTACACATCGGTAACCGGCTTCAGGGAGCCATTTATTATTCTACGTCTTTTAGTTTACATTAATTGAAATAAAATAAAATCTTATCAATTAAAAATAAAATAAAACAAACGAAAATAAAAACTAATCAATTGAAAAAAAATTATGTTTAATAAAAAAATAATATATATTGAAAGAAAAACTATTTTAAAATAAAAAATAGCATAAACAAAAGTTAGAAAAAATTAAAATAAAATTCATAAATAACATTCAAATAACATTAACTATATAGACATACTTATGCCCTCCCATTTGCTAGATTATAAATTTCATGAAACATTAACCTCTAAAGCACACTTCTATATTTTATTCGCACTTAATGAGGCGCCTGTTGTCCCACTTTACACCTTTTAGCCACACTCCAAGGCCTCAAAAGCAATTGTGCTACACAACAGTAACAACAATAGTCAGAATGAAAGCAATTTGTGCTCATCAACGAAGACTTAAAAAATTAATCAAACAAATTATGAACAACCAAATGGGTTGGCATTAATCACAACCTTACAATGCGCAGGAAAATACCTTCACACATATGTATATATATATATGTATATACAACCTTAGATTACTACCACTACTTGCTTAGAAGATTTAATGAGCAACACAACCCATCAAGCGAAAATAAGGTAGTAGGAATTGTATGTTGGAAAGAATAACAAATAAAAGCAAAAAAGTTCAATGTTTATATTAATGATTACTTATTGGGATGTTTGGTGCATTAACACAATTTCTTTTTAATTTTTTTTTCATAACACACAAAATTATCGAAATATCAACAGCGAGATAAGTCTGAATAGAGCTTAAGTTCTACTGAAAAAATGGGTAAGTAATTAAGAAGAAAGTACAAAAAGGTAGAAATATGTTATTAAAGAACAACCGCATCAGAGTTTCTTTTTTTTTCGATAGTGAAAAATTGAACTGAATCAAAATTCTTTTATTTGTAGAGTACACAATACGCCCCACATGCCCTGACTGGTGTGTTTATTACTACCCACACGCTAATTGTAAATAACTGTATTGTTTTGTGCGTTTAGCTGGTGTAGGTAGCTGTGTTGGTAGTAGAAGAAGGTTGCTGGCGTAACGGTAGAACAAAATCAATTAATTTAAAAATTCAGCTTATCGACGATGATGGAATGTAGTTTGTTAAATATATATGTATAATAAAGTGAACGTGTAATAAGCTAAATTAAATTAAATAAAACTAAAAAAAGTGAAGGGAAAGTTTTCATCAATTTGTAAAAAAAAATAAATGCTATATTCCCTGGGCAGTCTTGATATCTTACCTCATTAAAGCCTACCTATAGCTGGGAGCAGGAGTAGCTTATGGAGCTTTAATTTTCATAGAAAATATCGTTCGGGGTTTTAAAAGTCGAATTGACGATTTAGAGTTAATCTTGGATAAATGGCACACATTTGCGCTGCTTTTTTTCTCTTCTTACGATTTAAAAAATTAATACGAGCTTTAAGGTAGAAAAACAATTTATTATTGCTTTATGTTTTGTGCATATCTAAAATTTTTCTTACGAAAATGCCCACAAACTGACTCTTATCTCTTCGGCGCGTAAATTTTTTAGCGACAACTCTTTGCTGAAGTGATGGACTACTTGTAGCCGGTAATAAGTAAGATAATATGTGTTGAGGCAAGTATTTATTTACACTCTAATACACCTTCTTGACCAATAAATGCACCCATATACACTTAGAGTAGCAAAGATGTCTCCCTAAACAAAGTTATCTAGCAATTTCTTTAGCCAAAGCACGATTTAGTCAACTAAAACGCACTCTAAGAATTTAAAAAAAAACTTTGCTTCATCTACTGGTGGCAAACGTACGAGCAAAGATAAACAAGAGCAGCAGATAATTTATTGCCTACACTAATTTTGGCCAACTGCCTGCTGTCACGGGTGCCAAAGCCAGAGATAGTGCCTGCCACTGGCGATGGCAAGTTTGACATTGCGGTAATAGCTGCGCCATGCTACATACACACACACAGCCATACACACACACACACTTCTTACCAACATATATCACTGCCAAATCGTACGATAGAGACCATAGCCGTCTGGTGATCGGCAAGTAATTGAATTTGTACTTTTACACTGACAAATAAATCGGCTAAAGAAAGTTATGCCACACACATAAGCATACATATATGTATATACATACATAAAGGTGATATAAAAAATTTTGCTCCCATTTTACATAACCCATGTATGCTCTTTAATTGACCTGCAGCATTTTTTCGCAACCGAAGGAAAAAACTCCTTGGCGCTTTGTTGAAGCGAAAGGTGAATGGTGACTTTTGGTCACATTGGCGCATGTGCGCCGTACGCTATCTGCTGCTGCGCTGCCATTGTGTTATTGGTCAAATTTTAGTTTTCTGTTTTGGATTTTTTTTTTAATTTGTTTTAGGTTGCAACATTCTAGCAATATAGATCAGTTGTTGGCTGTGCCTATGATTTGTTGGCAGTCATTGTAATTTTGCTGGCGTTGTTTCTGATTTATTTACCTAAAGGTTAGGATTTCTATAGCACAGCGAGTGATTGGTAGCAATAATACTTCTGCTTGTTATGTACGTGCGTACCTATATAACCAACGTAATACTTTCAAGAATTGTTGCAAATGTGTGGCAATCTTTTATTGTTTATAGTATGGTTGTTAAGAAATTGGAGCAAATTGCAAGAGTTTTATGAATGTGCACTTAATACTTTTGTCCGTGACTTTTGTAGTTATAATTAAAGTATGAAACTTATATTTTTCTCATTCCTGTTAGAGATGACTACTGACAGATGTGAACAATAAATTTCCAAAAAAAAGTAGTAAGAACATAATATTAATGAAATATAATAAATAAATAAATATAAAAAAATAGAAATAATAAAAAAAATATTAATGTAAAATATTTTTCGTAAGGTTTATGATTATCATTTTAATTAATGAGTTAAAAGAATATCAAATTGATTTCGTGTATAGTACTTATTGTTAAATATAAGTGTGTGAGTTCAAAATATATTTAGAACAAAATTTTAAATTTTATGTTTTTAAATCGAGTTTACGCGGCAAAATAAGTCACTATCGTTTTTTGAAATCACTATCTTAAGAAGGCTGGTAAACAGTGGTGATGATTTTCTAAACCATGGTAATTTCCACTTTTTATTTAAATTTAAATTTTGCTGCCGACCTCGTCCGCAAGCAATTTCAAAATTCTTCTAATAATCATTTTTGTTCTTTTGAGATTGTTTCCTTTATCATCTTTAAAATATAAATATTTACGTTCGTTGAAATGTTTTCATACTAATAAAATATATATTTTTGTATCTAAATATCAAGCAAATCGAGAGTTTTTGGAATATATCGGTCTCGTATTAAAGTATGGAAAATCTATATATATTTCAAATATCAAGCAAATCGCACCAAAATTTATTTTTAAGTCGCTTTTAGGTGTACTTCCTGTAAAGAAATGTTTCACGAACAAAAATTTGCAAAATTTCTTTGAATAGATCGGCCTCAGACAATTAACGAATTCTCGCAAGTAAAAATTGCAAGCAAATTAATATAAACAAAGAGCTCTCTGGATTTAAAAACTCTAACGGATCGA